CGTGCCGATCCATTCATCATTTACTCCGGTCGACACCGCTTAGCGCCTCCTAGAGGATGTTTAATGTAGGTGTTGAATAATCTATTCTAATAATGCCCGCCGCGTCCGACGCAGATAACAAGCGTTAAAAAATAAGCGCGGCCTTGAACCTTGCTGCACTATGCTTCTACCATACACTCTCACATTCCTTCACCGGTTTACAAACAATAGTTAGTTGTACCGTTGTGTGCAAGATAAATGACAAACACAAAGAACAAAATTAATTCTCGATTTTCTCCGCGGCGTTCATTTCTCGTTCAGCGCCACTAAATACTAAACGCCTTGTTGACGGCTGAAGAAAAATGAGTTTTTTCAAATCACCATGTAATTCCCATAATTCTATTAACTTCAAATGCCTATCTGCGTTTAATAATTTTGTGCCCGCAATGAGATTTGACATGGAAAGTTCTAAGAATTACCTTGGGCTGCTAACATTGAAGCAAAATAAATAAAAATAAATAAGCAATGTGAAGAGTATGAATATATTGAGAATAATCATGATTATTTATATTTTGACTAAAAATTTTGCATGCAATGCACCCGCAGAGAGCTAAATTTGCACCCAATGAATAAGGCGCATTGTGATGTGGCTTTAAATTAACTCTGGCGCTCAAATAAAAGAATTTTGTGAATGGCGTTTAACGAGACAGATATCAGTTGTGCGATGATTGTGCGGTAGGAGTAAATAGAATAGAATGGCTGGGCGTTGACTGCGCTGACACAATGTCAACTCAGTCATAAATATTTACCTCCGATAATCTCCATCTTCTATATTTACTCAAAAATACCTCACTCAACTTTGCAACAGTCAAGCAAATTCTGGTTTTGTACCAGAGATGAAAACTGTAGTTCTGTTAACACTTTGCACGCAGGATTAACTGTAGTCATGATCTCCCGCTGCCAAACAAATGATTCTTTGAATTTATTTTGGACCCCCATCACTTGATCGGTTATTTTTCATTTTTGTAATCGAAAAATTACTTCGATTGTAGGCTCGCATACCTTTAAGAAGAATGAATTGGTATTCCGCCTGGTCGAAAGCAAAAGCATTGGCATTCATTGGCAATCACTCATATCTCACATCATATTTCGTCTTAAGTCACTGTCGTGTGCGAATTCAATATGACGGTTAATGGTTGATCGCTGTCCTTGGACATACACAATGCACCGCACTCTTCGTTGAGTTGTGGAAGTAAAATCGAATACGTTTTAACCGCATTAAGCAATGTAACAATGGCAAATCAAAACGTTCGTTATTAAAACGTCTGTCTCCGCCGTCACTTAGTCACATTTGGTCGTGTGTATTCTTATCATCATCGGCGTATACATTCGTCACATTCAATCACCCTGGCAATGACTTGACTGAAAGTATTCACCCTCATCGGCTTCATTTAAACTACCTTCCTTGGCAATATGCGTCTGCGACCTTAAACGTCAGACTTGCTGGCATTCACAATACAATTTCTTTATTGTTCTAGTGTCTTTAACAAATGACTATTTTATTACAATTTCCTTTCAAGAGAATGGTTGCATTTGCATTCAATGCAATGAAGATTTATTACAATATCCTTCTGACCAATTAACTAATAGATGATTAAATTATTAAATTATGCAGTAAGGCAAACACTCAATTGAATAATCAAAGAGTTAAATTTTGCGGCTGGTTTCATGCAAAGAGTTTAATGAAAACGAGATCAAAAGCGAGGATTGCACACATATACAAGTAAAAATTAATTAAAAATTAAAACTCAAAAAATTCTGACAGTGTCCGAACGTATGGCGTGGTCTTTTGTGAATTACAAATCACATATTGCCTTCTGAGTGGAAAACTGCTTTTTTTTGTTAATGATATTGCGATTATCCACTTTTTTGCCTTTGTGTCATCGTGCAAACGTAGCTGGCAGCGATTATCTTTGCATTTGCGTGCGCAAACACCGCGGCTGGGGAGGTTGAGCGATATTTATCAATCGCTTGAATCGATGATGCGATGTGATGCGATCCTCTTTGATGTCTGGCTCAGGCATTCGTCCGAGGATGGTGTTTCACGTTTAATCCGTTTTATCGCAATCGTGCACCATTGCTGACAGCTTGTGTCCGTGAAGTGAAATTGTGATCGTGCTATAATTCTAGATATATTTTTACTCTTGAGACTGGTGGACAAAAAGCAGAACTAAAAAGCAATTATCAATTAAATAGTATTGTCGGATACTTTTGAAATTAGCCAACCTAATGAGTGTTTTTTATATTAAGACTAAGCTTTGAAAATATAAACGAATTATAATTATATTGTTATTGGGTTGAAATTTGACAACAAATGAGGCGTAACATCCGCATGAAACTGCATTTCGAAATTTAATTCCTCTCCCGATTTTGGCAACTTTTAATGAATTAATCAAGCGAGGTCAACAAGACTGAAAATATTTATATAGGTATAAACAATTCGAATTGCTAAATTACTTTTTAATCGAATTTAGCAAAAACAATCCTGTTCATTATTTTATTTTATATTTATTTCCTTGTGAGCAGTTTTTTTTTATTTCTCATGATTTGTGGTTTAATTCAAAAATAATGTGATAAAACAAAATGAGTAATGCTGTGACACGCTGTATGCCGCAACCAAATGATTGTGCATTATTCTGCACGAAGCCGCGCTGCGTTGCGCCGCAGCAGTGCAAATTTCATTTAGCTTGATTATCTTTTTTGATTAATTGTCCTTTGTCGGGCGCGCCGCTGCTGCTTTGCTGACGCTGACGCTTCCCACTGATGTGCGTGTATCATTTGCGCGTCATTTATATAACTGCATTATTGCACCATCGCATCGGCTGCAACGCTTGCAAACAATCGCGAAAAACTTTCATCATTCAATGTTTCACACCGCCTCGCGCAAACTTGTTCAATTTGCAGTTCATCTGAAGATAATTAAATTTTAACTAATTATTTTAGTAATTAAAATTGGGCCAGGTAAGGTTAGTTGTAGCAACGGGGCAAATTTAAATACCTTTAACATGACATAGTTTTAAATTGTGCTACCCTAAAAAAAAAAAACAAAAAAGTTGCTTACACAATTGTTTATCCTATTTTAAAAGAAAGAAAAAACGAGTGTGAGAGCAAAGGGATCATACTTTTTCATCAATACTAACGTAAACCCCGTTCGGTCACACTTAAACTATCCCACTAATGCAATTCCAAGTTAACTCGGAGCACTCACGATTTTACTCATAATAATTAGACACGTATAAGATTCTAGTCATATATGGGATGGAAGCATGTTGCAGTAGTCAAATTTTCGTTCGAATTATCGTTTCCTCGTCGTTATCTTGTTAGAGTCCTTTCTCAAATAAACACGCATTTCTTGGCGGGCGCCGCAGCGGCAACTACCGAAAACAAACTTGTTCCGACAGCGTCGTTGTTTGCGTCTTGCAACAAACAGAAGACATGCGAAACCCCGCGCATCGCACGCTTGTCTACTACATAGTCTTGCTAACTATGTTTACCAGCCTTAAAATGTAAATATTTATGTTGCATTTGCAAAACGACAGCCGAACGAAGCGCCAATTCGAACTCCAGTTGACGCGACTGCACGGAATCGATTTGTGCGGGCTACCCTCGCACGAATATATCTAGTGATGTTTCTGGACTGCAAAATGTGCTTTCTTTTCGTGGGGCGCGTAGATACTTCGCCAGTAGAAATTTTAAATGAGACACTCTGTAGTTTCGGGAAAAACACATGCAAACAGTAGCGGAAAACATTATTTACAACAGAGTACGAACCAGAGGGATAATGAGCAAATTGTGTTAGGCTTGGAGCGGAGGAGTACTCATCTCTTGACTGACCGCATGCCTCCGACGCTGCCGCCGCCCATACTCCCACCTATCTACGACGCGGTCACCCACGATGGTATTATGCATTAACCGCCGTCCGAAAAGTGCCGCGCTCTGAGGCACCCAGAGTTATTTATCCCTTTGAACCCGCACAATACTCCGTCATCAACGCACACTCCTACAACAACAGTTTAAATTATTAAATCAACAAAATTAAATATTCTAATTTCCACGTTGTGAACGCACACAAACGAATTTCATTTTCTGTAGGAAGTTGGATTACCCTGAATGAAACAATCCATCTATGCAAGGTTACATGAATTAAAGTACAACTTAAAAAATGTTTAGTTTAAACCAAAAGCTTTTTGATACGCACGCGATACGTGTTAGAACTTGAATTAAAAGGTGTTGCGCTACATGAATATTTATAAAACGTCCTGCTTGAAACCTTTTCCATGTTTTGTCAGATAAATATTCAATGTAGTTGCCCATTGGGCCCGGCATTCTCATAACCGTAATCTCAAATAACCATCATCGCGCACCGTCTTCGATAGAATAGATTCAGATGCGATATTTACAAGATGCTCTCGCACCTATCTGAGGTTATACTCGCATTAACTGAATCATGGTTTGCACTCAACGCTGCAGCAATTTCTGTAATTTATTTACATTTTAAAGAGCTTTCAACAACCAATTTGATGAAAATATTGATAAACCAAATTGAAAATTTAACTTTATGTTAGCATTGATGAAGCTGGTACCTTAACCTTAATGTGATAATAATGAACTAATTAAAAAATAAATGTTGAATGAACAAACACATTAGGTATAATTAAGTATAATATCTTAATTCAAAACCGATAAATTGCTTGCTAATGATACAAAGTTCGATTAAATAAAAACTTTATTGAAAGTTGTTGGAATAAGTGCACTTTTAAAATAAAATTAAGTTTGTCATTTCGCACATGGAGTGATGCCAAATTTGCGTTGAATGTTGCATCTCGCCCGACTTTATGTTAAATGTGCGCGTACGAAACTTTTCCACAACTCGCGCAATTTCCACCAAACAATTTCTGATGCATTTACTGAAACTATTTCTACAGCGCTCGCGGCCAACAATTTGAGCAATTTCTCGTTTAGCTTCACCTACATTACGCCGCTTTCAGTTTCAGCTGTCGGTTACCAGATTTTTCTGGGTCTTGATTTCGGCTTGTGTAGCCTAAGTAGCCTATGTAAGTGCGCTGTTTTCAGTTTGTGACCTAATAACTTGTTCTGGTTATTTATATAATTTAAATACGCATATTTATGTAATATTTGTGCTTGAAAATTATTCGGTGGCTTGAATATTTATAAATAATTATTACAGTTCACTGGAAAACATACTGTATAAAATGTTCTGACGCAGTCTTGCTTAATTTGGCGAAACAAAAGCTTATTTCCCTTTCCTTTAGCAAACAAGACGGTCGAACGCACACACTCGCACCCATATAGGTTATGTTACGCTGTTCTCACTACATACCCTACAAACAATGCGACAGCGGAGCTAAATGTGAAAAGAAAACGAGATAAAACGAAAACGCGCGGCGGTGGCTTCACAACCAGGGACAACACGAACTAGTCCCTAGACGAGTTATACCTATACACATGTTTCTCGACTGTCTTACATTTCCTCGCCGTACGCTTCACTTAAGCGGCACGAGTCTACTTGAAAACAAAATTTTATTAAGTTAATAATTTACAGCGTACGGATGTCTTCCTAACCACTTCACTTAGTGAGTGCATTTGGTAGTTTTTACTTGTTGAAGGAAGTTCCATCTCAATCCAAACAAATTCAGATGCTTCGTTTGTAAGGAACTATTAAGCTGAAAAATGTAAACAGCTGCTGATGTTAGTAAAGTCGCTTGCGTTTTGAAGACTTCTAGGGTTGTTGGTTCCCTTCTTTCTATATTTTTTGCTTTGTCGTCGGTTCAGCCTCTAACATTGAAATTTCTTTGGCGGACAAAACACGAGGCAATTTAGTTGCCCACCAACAATTTTTCAGTGCCATTTAGTCGTACCATTCACCCTTAAAACGTTCTTTTATGCTACGACAAATGAAAGCCGACATTTTTATATATAAATTTCATTGGGGTTGTCACACCTTGTACACCAAGCGATGGAATTTTCCAAATCTAAGCACAATTCTTTTTAATTTATTTGTTTCGCTTTTTACCTAACACCCTATACCTTCTTGCCAAGTATTCGTGTGCCAATTTTATTTTCTATAGAATGCGAATTCTACAAAACCTTTTCTGTTCTGTGAGTCAGTCATAGATTTCTCATTCAATCACATTTAAGCTCACAATGACATTATGAAGATCACGCAAGCGACGACTATGAAAAGTGCATTACAAAGTTATCTGAATACAGAGTGCATCGGGCAGTTACATTCAGAATCTTTATGGCGATTTTTCATCTTTTGTTAATTGTTGCGTTCGATTTTCAGTTGGCACCTGCCCATTAAGAACACGCAAGATGCCCAAGGTCTGGATGATTATTGTTGATTGTCTTTTAAGTGCGGACAGGCAAGGTGTTGCCATACAAAGTAGCGCAGGCAAGAGAAAAGAATACGAAATAAAAATCACACGCTGCACGCGCTCGCTGGAACGTGTCGGACATTATTAATGTGCCCAGTCGCAAAGTAAAAGCATTGTAATGAGTGATAACGGAAAAGAGCACAATCCACATTAAATGCACTACAATTACGTTTTACCTGTAGGTACCAAGGAAATGACATTCCATTGCTGCGCCATAATACCAAGAAGCTGAAAATAATGAAACTCTAGAATTGAAGAGACGAGCCACGGCGCTGGTGGAAAACAAAGAAGATGTTCATAAAATTAGAATCAATTAATTGAAATTTAAAACAATTTGGATGAAACACACTTCACAATAACGTGCTGTTTACACAAAATTATCGTCAATGCGATGTTAAATGTTTTATGCTCTTTTATATTCCTTTCCGTGCATAACAAGCATAAAATCAGATAATAAACATTTGAAACAAACTTAATGTATTTATTTAGGGTAATATTTCAACCTTGGCATATTCGTCATTTGTCGTACTGGTTGTGGTTCTGTCTGCGACGATGATGAATACGTTTAACTCAAGCTCACCTGACAGTACCAAACCGTATTCTCATGTCGCGCTCGCATATTAATCACAAGAAACATCGTAACAATGCAGGCACCACTCAACTATAGTTACTTATAACATCTTGGAGTTGCTCGTTGTCGCGCATGAATGCTAGTGGTGGCGTTGGACCAACAGCAATGCCGGCGGTTTCCAATCTAAACGCCCTGCGAAGACCAAGAGCTAGAGCACTAAAATGGTCCCACGTCTGCATACTTGGACTGTTTGTTGCTGCCATCCGTTGCCATCGTCGATATCATTCAGGCATGATGTTAGAGGAGGTTGGCTTTTCAGACGCACAGGAATTTGTCTTTATAAGTCGCGTCGCTGAGAAATTGTGCTTTATCATCTTCAAGATGTAACTAAAATCTGGATACTTGAATTTGGACTTACTTAACTATCTAGTTGTGTGGTTTTGGGGTGGGTCGAAAGTTGCATCGCTTTACAATTGACAAATTATCTGGGGAGTTTTGTGAGTTGTAATTGATAGTAATTTGGTTATTTCAAAATCATCTAGGCGTTAGTTTTATATTTATAGCATGTTTCTATTTTTCTGCTGAAATGGTACATGGTTCGTATAATGGTTGCATTTGAAGGCAGCAGAAGTTATCGTAATTAAAATATTTATCAGTCATAGAAATATTTATTTTCTTGTTTGATACCAATCTCTTGATATTTATATTAGTTGAATTCTCGAAAAGCAATAATTTTTCATTTTATTTGTATTTTGAGATTCATTATATTACTGCAATATCTTATGCAGTAACTCTTCTTTTCGTTGTAGTCGGCGTTGCATCACACCATGGTGCCCACTAGTAATAAATGCTAACGTAGTGATTTGGGATTGATTAATTGCCGTGAGCCTACTAAATGAAATGGTTTGCAGTGCGACGCAAGACGAAAATCTTCAAACGTGAACGAAACAACCTTATTCGAATCGTAAAGGTGCTAAGCAACGTGTGGTCCCAGCGGGAACATTTCCAGTCATTTCAAATCGCGTTCTCGTCGGTTGAAAAGATACAAACAAAAAATGCGTACTGATGCAAGCGGTGAAAAACATCAAGCAGACACGCAGTACATGCGTGATTTATTGATTTGCCTCTGCGTCCTGACAGCACACGTCTTTGTCCCTGTACGACTTCTTCTTACTTAATAACACAGATCATAAATTTATATTTGTTGGTGTTGCCGAAATTGTAAATCATATTTTGCACGTATCTCATCGTCAAAAATTTCACAGTTGTATGTTAGCTTATAGCACTCGGATGTGATTTGTGTTATGCAACACAATTGTTTGGTTGCATATAATTAAACTTAAGCTAAGCTTAGAAATATATAGTATATAGGAACATTATTTATATTTAAACTAAACAGAAATATTTGCAATTCAATGCCATAAAAAACTCAGAATCATCCATGGCGATTTTGTCATCTAAACAAATATGATTAAATCGATTTTGGCATCAGTAAAACGGCTGGATTTTAACACCATACTCGTATACCTACTCTTAACTTAAGTATCAAATTGGCTAAACGACGTATATGAACATTTAGCAAAGTGATGCTTACGCTATTTTTTCTACTTTCACTCCATTTCCACGTTTAGTTTTTTGTATTTGATCTTTTGTAATCTTCGAAATTCGTTTACTACATTACTGGGAAATGTGAGGTTATAAATGCCGTGCCATGCGCCAAGTCATGTGGCGCCGCGCCGACACGAGCAGAATCCCACGTGCTTTGACTTGTTTGGCAAATGCACAGGCGCAGGCTCCTCCCCGTGACTAAAGTACTTTAGTCATGGTTTTGGCCGTCCGTGTTTAAAGTACCACTTTTTTGCCTCAAAACCGTGAAAAAACTGACTCTATAAAGGTGGAAATAGAAAAAATATATTTATTCGAAGCATTGAAGATCGTAATGTCACAGAGTCAAAGTCGTGAATGTTGTTTATCGCGGATTAGTTGGTTTCTGATTACAACATCTAAAAGTAAATGCTACATAGGTTTTACGAATCAGTGAAATTATCTGCCTGCATGGAAGAGTATAGCTCATGCACACAAATAAATTGTACCAGTTATGCTTTTAACCGACTTAAATCTAGTCTCTTTCTACATGAGCCCGTATTACGCGCGATAAGACTGTTTTAATGCGCTTAATGCGAGTTAAACAAGAATTCTATCGATTTATCAGATGTTTTCGGGTTTACATGACTTTAGCTGACTTTAACACCACATATAGATATTCAATTACACGATTGGGTTGATAATACGAATAACCACATGCTGTCTATTGTAGCACAAGGTTTTATTGCTCCGTCGCGAGCAATTTCTTTTATAATTTATTGGGTTTATTGATTTAACATTACTGCACTTATCAAAGTGGAATATTTGTTTTATAGTACTGGTTGGTTAGCAGACAATGGATAGGAATTTGTTTGTTTTCGTGTTTACGCCGCTAAATTAATATTCCGTGCTCATGCGTTAATAATTCTTAAACAACTTTAAATGTTTTCAAATATTTTTTGCCTATCTCTGATGCGGCCCCGAAGCGCTCATTTTTTCCGCCTGCCGTGGAATTTTTACCCTGCGTGCTTTGAAATTAATGCGCTACACATTTTGCATCGCTAATTTGCTCAGAGCCTGTTGTAGTGCTGTTTGTACATTCATCCTGTAGTCGACCTCGTGTCTAATCGTTTTTAGAAATCTTTATGGACGATTGAGCCTAACATACTATGGGTGTGTTGACGGAAAAATAAAATAACAAAAACAGAAAACCATACGTTTGTGAACTGCTGTGAAAGGCTAAACAGCTTAAAATTATTAGCTAAAATAAAGAACCACAGAAATAAAGCCGCAAAGGTGAGCCCACAAGTTGCACGCAGGGGTAAAACGCCTGAAGCGCTTTCAATAGGGACAGGTGACAATGTCAGATAGGCTCACGAAGATAACGAACACGAAACATTTAACGTAGCAAAACAAATTTTCAGCCGTGCAATTAGCTATACGTTACCTGCTTGAAAGAAATCAAAAAGAGACACTAATAGTTGCAATCATATTTAATAATTAAATAAGTCACAATTTTAAAAACATAGCTATTGTTTAATATGAACTCCAAAAATTATTTACTCAAAATGTCCAAATATACCAAATGAGCAGGTGCACGACCAAAAACACCCTTAAATATGACATTTTGAAGTCCATGAAGTTTTTTTGTACACCCACTTTTTGCTGAAGTGTTCTGAGTTGGAGTTGTGAAGAAGATAATACTTTTGGGTTGGGTACCGGTTTCTCTGTAGAGAAGCACCTGCTCGCATACGTTTACTTGGACTGCTTGTGTTGCTTGAGGTAGCTAACCCTTTTAGCTTTTTGCTTCGCCGACTTGCATGCCGAACAAATAAAAACATTTCTTGTTATTGATATATCGTGGAGCGTTGAACACCGTATACGAAGTCCTTGAAAATTTGCAACGTGGGTGATCGACGCAGTGGGAAATAGGCAAATTGAAATGACTATTGAGTTCATATTCGCTTTTTAATAATAACCGCAAAAGATATTTCTTTAATGATTTAAATATAGTACGCATTTATATTTTGATTTTCTGCAACAGTTTCTTATATAGGTTTTGTATTGATTGAGACACGATTTGTGTTTCTTTTAGCATCTTGCGTCATTCGATGGACAATATCAAAAGCTATTGAATTATCGTAATTTCTGAATGCCGGACCTCGTAGGTTGAAATCTCGCTTAGAATAGCATTAGAAATTGGCGCTGAATAGAAGTCTTTCCAATTGTTGTACTTTTTTGAATGGACTCTTGCGCTCCTCCGATGGCCCCCATTGGTGTGTAATTTGCTTTTTATACCAACTGCAGAATTGGTATATGAGCATATATCTGAAGATTGAAGTCTGAATACAGGCGGCGCGGCGCGTTGTTGTGATGGCCGTATGCGTTTATTTCGTATTGCTTGCTCTCCTGCTTCCTTATTTCTTCTTCATGCCATTTCAATAGTATATTAATGTCGGTTTCTTTTGGTGGTCGGACGTTCGGTCGTTTCCTCCATCGTTCCCTGCGGGCTCACAAAAGCCGGGTTTTATTAATAACAATGCGGTCCGGCGACGCCGAATCGGAGGGTTTGAGTTAGTTCCATTGGTGCGCGCGTAATAAAGGTTGGTGTTTGTGGGCTTGCAGGTAGGCAGGTGTGCGTTTTTTCGGCCCTTGGCAATGCAGTGTACCACGAATTCCTTCATCTCATGCGGAGTGTATTTCTGCGCCAAACCGCACTTAAATGTGATATTCTTTACACAATGAACGAAGCGAAATGAATCACGGTCAAATTTACCTAATTTGTGCTGGAAGCATTTGTCAGAACAAAAGAAATTAAATTGAAAAGGCTGTTATTAGAATTAAAATCAAACCAAAGTTTAAATATTTATTAATACCTATAAATAATTACTGTCATTAATATTCCTTTAAAATGTGAATATCTAATTGTAGTATAATATGCTTTATTATGTAATTTTTTTAAGCAATGTAGCAAATTTCTTATGTTTATAGATAAGCGGTCCTTTTGTACATTTAACAAGTTTTCTATGGGTCGTACTATAAGAAGTAGTCAACAATCAGAAATTTGTTTGCCACCGAAAATTACCTCCTGCATAAATATCTGAGAAGTTTAGTCGACAAATTTAGAAGTTTACGATCGCGTTTAGGTGAACATTACGCAGGCAGGGTTTGCAAAGTATCTTGGTTTCTTATCGAACGAGAAGGGAACGAAAAAGTTTTAAGTA